CACATAGCCAGAGAAAGGCATGGCTATTTCTTTACATATTAAGGAAGGAGCTGTGTGAAAAGCAAATATATTTTCATTTAAAATGATTTCTACCAGGATTTGTACTATAGCTGATCTTTCCAGCAGCAGTATCATGCGCAAACTCTTATTCCTATGGCTGGTCCCTTACTCTCACTAGTCCCCGTGCTAGGATTCTTAGCATGAGTCTAACTAGACAGGATTGGACTCTTCAGACCTGATGTAGCTCCCTTTCAAATACATGGACAGCCTCCCAATGACTTCAATAGGAGTGGGATGAAGCCCCTTGGGGGTTGGCCCTGAACCATTGAAGTCAATGGGAACTTTGCCATTGACTTCAATAGTAGCTAGATGAGACCCTTAGGGCTTCAGCCAATGCATAAGCGCGAACTCCGTGGGTGCTCTGCTGGAGCACCCTCGGAAAAAAAAATAGTGAGTGCTCAGCACCTACCAGCAGCCCCGCCAATCAGCTGCTCCCCCTACTCCCCAGTCCCTCCCACCAGCCGGTGGGCCCCACCAATCAGCTCCTCCCTCTACCCCCCAGTCCCTCCCACCCGCCGGTGGGCCCCGCCAATCAGCTCCTCCCTCTACCCCCCCAGTCCCTCCCACCCGCTGGTGGGCCCCGCCAATCAGCTCCTCCCTCTACCCCCGAGTCCCTCCCACCCTGCCGGTGGGCTCCGCCAATCAGCTCCTCCCTCTACCGCCAGCCCCTCCCACCCGCTGGTGGGCCCCGCCAATCAGCTCCTCCCTCAAGCGCCCCCGGGAAATAGAAAGTCGGTGCCTCTGAGCCAATGCCCCTTGCAGTAAAAGGAAGGGCTCGCATTGACTTCAGTGGATATTGGATGGGGTCTTTAGGACCAGATTCTCAAAGGTATTGAAGTGCTTGGTGCTCGCTTCAGTGGGAGTGAGGTGCCTAAATACATTTGAGGACCCAGGGTCGTGGTGGAGCCTCTACCATTGACCATTTTTAAAGCCTAATCAGATGGTTTTCCAAAGGATCCGTTCTAGGAGTAATTTGGGGGGAGGTCTATGGCCTGTGGTTACACAGCGGGCCAGAGGAGGGGATCACAAGGGTCTCTTCTGGCCTTGGAATCTATAAATTAGTCCCCAAGGGTTTGTCTTGACTAGGATTAGGGGATGTGTTGTTGGGACGTGTTAGCTCACCTGCGCTAACACCTCTGGTCTAACACAAGGCTGTGTAGGCTTTAACATGTGCTAGCGGATTAAGTTGGAGCCAGATGGGAGGTTCAGCACATGTTATCTAACGCCTTCTGTCAATTGTCGGGCTCTCTCCCCAGCGCAGAAAGGATCAGTCCCAGGCCAGGGCCTTGCCTCAGCGCACAATTTATTGGTTCAAGAGAAATTTGGGGGAGAAATGTCAAAATAGAGTAGTTCTCCTGCCCATCATAGGCTGCAGGTCCTTGCCCTGACCCAGAGCCTATTACAGAATCCTCCCTGCTCACTGCACTTCACTAGCTCTACTGAGCTCTTACTGGCCTTTCTAAGGACCTCCTCAGGCCTCAGCTGGGAGCACTGGTGAGGCTGGGCCAATCGCCCCTTAAAAAGGTGCCTGTGACACCTTCTAACTCACCTTTTATCCTAGTTAAAAAAAGAATCGATCTTTGGTGAAACATGGCCCCATTACCACAGTCTCTGAGCACCTCACCCTCTGTAATGCATTTAGCCTCACAGCACCTCTGGGAGGTAGAGCATTGCAGTTATCCCACTGGCCGCGGTTCGCCGCTCCAGGCCAATGGGGGCTGCGGGAAGCAGCGCGGGCTGCGGGATGTGCTGGCCACCCTTCCTGCAGCCCCTATTGGCCTGGAGCGGCGAACCGCAGCCAGTGGGAGCC